GCTGCTGCTGTTGTTGTTGCAGACGCGAGAAGACGGTGCGAGGATCAGTGAGGATGGAGAGCATGCGAGTGACCAGGGACTCCGCGCCCATTGGGCATTCATCCACCAGGGTGAGGAGGTCGGGGGAGTGCAGACCGATCTCAAAGACCTGTGGGAATGTAAGGGTAATGGGGGTGAGAGGTGCAGAAGGTGAGAATGGAAATGAGTTTTCAACTGGCGACTGACGGAAGGGAAGATACAATAAGGGGCCCAAATCCTCAAGCATTAATCCATTCCATTAGAAAGTACGGCCAAACGATTATATAAAGTACCCTACTTTAAAGGTTTCTATAAACACGTAGAACAGAATCCGTATTTATGGACAATCGATTGAGAGCGCTAAAAATCGTCAAGTGTTCTCCACCCTGTCAAGAACGGTGTTACTTTCGTCTTGAACGAACATCCGAAACAATATCAAAGAAATGTGACGACAGGGAATTTCTCCTAACGTTCAAAAAAATGGTACACTTACGATTGCACCTGACAATTTCAATAAAATTTATTAGTCCCTTACCACCATTTCCGCACGTGAGATTGCGAAATACCTTATTCCCATGACGTCCTAATCGGCGCAATCAAGCGAAAATTTGGTTGCCTTAACCCAAAAAAATCTCCAAGAAGGTAGAAACAGAAGAAACAGTAAGCAGTGCTTACGAAACCACGTTGGAGTATATACTCGAAATTATGTCCATACTTCACATTACGTGTTATACGAACAAATTATCTCCCAAAATTCAAAAAAATATATTTTAAAACAGAATTATACTTATGCTGCTTCATTCATTCGGCTTTTTGCATATACAGACTTTCTCTACATCTCAAGCAGAAACAGCTTCTATGCGCTGCCATACATTAAGGACATAACAGAGGTGATTAAGCGCAGTGCTGCGGGCCCAAAACTACCATAGGCAGCAGGGTCATGAACATCAAGAAGGAATTAATCCTAGTAAAGGCAGGCAGGCAAGTAGCCCTTGTTGGATCCGGAACGCCGCCGGGTGGGCCT